CGCCTGGTGGGACCAAGTGGAGCCCTGGTCCCCCCTCAGCCCAGGCCCCGTCACCGCTGGGGCCCGAGCGCGAGGGGTGGGACGCTCGCCCGGGAGGTAAGCGAGGCAGCTGCCATGCCATCACCTCTCCCGCAGCGTCAAAGCTCGAAGGTTCAGCCGTCGGCACAACCGGATCGTGAAGCAGGAGAGCTCCAGCAGCGAGGACGAGGACTGGGAGACCCCCAAGCCCTTCTACCAGCTGCTGGCTGAGAAGGCCCACTGTTGCCCAGAGCTGGCCTCTCAGCTGCCCCCTCGCCGTAAATGAGGGGAATTCCTCTCCCCCTCCTCCCTCGCCGCCTTGCAGCTCCTGCACCTGTGGTCTGAAGCCAGGAGCCATGAGGAAGAGGCCGCCCCCTCACGGGCCTCACCCCTGCTGGCGCAGGTGCCCCCCACCAGTGTCCGCGGGGCTGGGAGGGGGCAGATGTGTTGAGCAGGTCGCTTCATGTGTTTGCCTCGTAGACGGGCAGCTGAACTCTGCCCTCCCACAGCCCGCTGCCCTTCTCACGGCTCCTTCCTAGCCCAAGGTGCAGCCAGGGCCCCGGGGTTGGGGGGAAGCCCTGGATGAAATGCAAGGTGGTCAGGAAGGGGTTCCCTGTGCCCCGCCTCCGCCCAGCCGGGTTCATTCTCGCCTCAGCTTTCTCCTCCCTCCCCCGTTCTATTTATAGATTATTTATTATTGCCAATAAAATAAAGTAAGTGGAACCCTCGTTACCAGCAAGGGAGACCAGGCAGGGCGCTCTGGGCCCCTGCTCCCTCCACCCTGCATCTGAAGCCGCAGGGCCCCAGGGGCTGCAGCGCCCCCCCCTTCCCGCGGGGAGCAGTCACCCCCAAGCCAGAATCTCAAGTGGGGCTCCATGGGGTTTTTCTTTGGGCAAGTCGCTCAGAAGGTAGCCGACAGCCCTGCAGGTTCGAGTTGTTTGTTAACTTTATTTTCATTGAAACAGAGCCATACCATGTCCTAAAAAAATAAAGATTTAGGATACAAACGAGACACAGGGGTCAGAGCTGCCCCGCAGGTGAGGGGATCTTTGGTCTGGGGCCGGACGTGAGGACGAGGGCTGCAGTCCCGGGAGAGCCCGCCCAGGTCTCCCCACACCTGCGCTGCGTTTCGGCAGGAAGGGTCCGTCATTCCCCACGCACAGGACCGCCCGTCCTCCACCCTCAGACTCCCAGCGGTTCTGAGCACAGCTGGATGTCACTGGGGCTATTAACAGTGTCCTGGGGAGTGGCAGGGGGAGGGCTCAGGGGGTTGGAAACCCAGCCATCTGGCCAGGTTTTCAGCTCACAGCTAGTACCAGGTCGAGGGGGGCAGAGCCCCTGAGTCAGGACCCCCAGGCTCCCCATATATGTGGGGGCAGAGCAAAGAGAGGGCTGTAACAGGCGGCTTCCCGTCCGGAGGGTAGGGCCCCCCGGACAGGGGTGAGCCCCGGGCACGCCCAGGGTTCGGAGAGGTTAGGCAGACCGAGGGGCAGGCGTAGTGTGTGTGGAGGCTTCAGATGGCGACATCGTGTTTCTGAAAGGTTCCCTACTCCCGGCGGTCCTGGATCTCGAGCACCAATGTCCGGAGAGGCGACGAGGCCTGGTGGGGTCACAGTTCCAAGGGCTCTTCCACCGGCACCGACTGTAGCTGGGTCAGAACCTTGGCCTCAGCTTCCAGCCCCTCCTCAACCTCCCCCCCGGCTGTGGCCCCCAGGAGCAGCCCCTCGGGGTCGGGGTCCGGCAGCCTCAGCACGGTGTGGGGGGGCTGTGTCCCCAGCCCCTTCTCCGCTTCTAGCAGCCCTTCTGTGCCTGTGCTCAGTTCCAGTCCCGCCGGCCAGATGGGCACAGTCGCGGCTGACAACATGAGGCCCTCGGGCGGGGGTGCTGGAAAGCCGGCCAGGAGGCTGGAGGAGTCTGGGGAGAAGGGCAGGCTGGCGGTGACGGTGGCGGCAGGAGCAGGGGGTGGCTGTGGAGGCTGCTGCGCAGAAAGTGTGCCTAGGCCGTGGGCCTCCGGGAGAGCAGGGCTGGGGGCCACCGGGAGGGCTCCTTCGGGCACCGAGACGGCCGGGTCTGGCTTCAGGGGCAGGGCCAAGCTGGGGGCAGGTGGCAGGACCTGGGAGACCAGCATGCTGGTCGGGAAGGTGGCGGTGAGGATGATCTTGCCCTGCTGCACGGCCACACCTGTCACGATGGGGCTGCCAGACACGGGATTGGCCAGGAGGAAGTTTCCTGCGGGGAGAGGAGACGGCCCCAGCCCCCCGCACAGGGTGAGAGGGGAACCCCGCCAGGCGCAGCACGGAGGCTCAACGGCCTGGCCTGCAGTGGGAGGCAAACTGAGGGCCTCCAGGGAGGGACCAGGTCTGGGCGCTCTGAGCCTCCGCACTACCTGGCACAGGACGGTTCTGGTACATACAAGGGATGAGCCTGGCCCCCTCCCACACACACACCCCAAGCCCGACAGCACCCTCCCTCCCTGAGACGACCACCCCCCACCCAGGCCAGAGGGAGGAAGTGGTACCTGGGGCCGTGGCTGAAGGCAGCTGCAGGGCAGTCACACCCACTCCAGAGTTTATCAGGTGCACATTGGCGGGGCCCGCCGCAGCTGCCACCTTCACAGGGCTGCCTGGCCCGGCTGCCAACAGCTGCAGCGGCCCCACAGCCTGCGGCAGGGTCACCACCTGTGAGGTGGGCACCACCTGGGGCAGGTTCAACAGTGGCGAGGCAGGGCCCAGGCCGGCAGGGTACCCAGGGGGCGGGGAGAGTGGCACCACTTGTGGAGCAGCCACAGAAGGCACTGGACCTGGGGCCAGAGGAAAGGTGGCAGCCGGTGGGGGGCCCGGCACCACTTGGGGCAGAGGCCCCGGCACCTCCTCCCCAGTGGGCCCTGAGGCGGCCGCCTGGGTCCCCTTGGTCTCAGGGACCTCAGGCTGAGCCTCCTCCAGTCGAACCTCCCCAGTTTGAGGGTCTAGGACCAAGGAGGTCTTGCCCTCGCTGGGCCCCAAAGCACTGGGCTGTGGTGCGGGGGCGCCCCCGCCCCCTGTGAGCAGCAGGGGGCCCAGGCCCGAGGCCTCCCCCAGGGCCAAGCTGTTGATGATCACCGGGCTCCCATTGAGGAGCACGGCTGGCGAGCTGCTGGCAGCCAGGAAGCTCCCGTTCACCAGGATGGAGGAGGAGGCTGGGCATGGCGCAGGAGGGGCGGCCCCAGCCAGGAATATGGAGCCCTGGGCAGGGGCCTCCGTGGCCACTGGAGCCACCCCTCTCTCCAGGTCCTCGGGGCTGCGGCTGGACTCGTCCTCAGTAGTGGGGTTCCCATCAGACTCGCTGGCCAGAGACAGAATTATGAGTTGAGGCCCCAAATGCTGGCCAGCTGATTCCTGCAGAGCTGCAGGAGCACAGGCTGACCACTGCTTCCCCACCTTTCCCCAGCCCAAACTCTTGGGGACATTTCCTGGGGGTTACAAAACCTCTCTGAGACCACCCAAGGACTTCAAGGACAGAGCCTCTGCAAGCCCTTCGTTGACACCACTGCACGATGAATGTCACCAGCTTAGGCTGGCCGCATCTCCAGGGCGGAGGCCTTCTTCTCCCACCCCTTTGGCCTTCGGGCCCCAGAAGCTGAGCACCCAGGCTGTCTCGAGTCTCCTGGGTCAGGCTGAAAGCAGCTCAGTGGCTTTGGAGAGCGAGGAGGCGGCTGGCCGCTCAGTTCCCAGTGCCTCCCCCTGGGCGTCAGAGAAGGGAGTGAGAGGCCGACGTGCGGGGTGGGAGGGGAAGGGCTTGGATTACAGGGAAACCGGAGCTGGGGAAGGTTCACGTTTCACAACAAAGGCAGACGACGGACCACGCTGTTTTGGGCCCTGAGGGGAGTGCGGAGGGGGGGTGAGGAAGAGCCAAGGTCCGGGAAGGGACCTGCGTGCGGCTCAGGGGCCCGAGAGAAGCCGCGACTTCGGGTGGGGTGGACACAGGCCCCACCCCCTTTCCCGCAGCCCCTCTTTTTCTCTGCCTCCCCCCTGTCTAGCCACCAACACGGATGGGACCTGGGATGAAGCCCTGAGTGGAGCAAAGGGAAGACGTCTCCCAGCCTCTCCGAGAGGAGCAGCGATGCCGGGGAGGGGGCTCCGGGCGTGTGCCCGTTCCATCCACACTATTCCCCGCGCGCGGCGGGCGCCCGGGGTGCGAGCAGGAGGCGTCCGAGGAGCTCGGCGCCCTGGCTCCAGCAGTGGGCGTGCGGGAGAGGGGGGCTGGTGGGTAGCACATCCCCGAGACAGCGGGACTTGTGCCGCCCGGGTCCCCTCACCTCTTGCAGGGCGCGCCGCCACCGCCCCCAGTCCGGTCGCGCTGTCGCCGATTCTTGAACCAGTTGCTGACCTGCGTGAGCGAGAGGCCGGTGAGAGTGGCCAGGCGGCGCTTCTCGTCCGGCGTGGGGTAGCGGTTGCCGCGGTAGCAGGCCTTGAGCGCGGCGCGGGAGCGCTCCTTGAAGCAGTAGACCGTCTCCTCGCCGTCCCAGATGGTCTTGGGCAGTGGAAACTTCTTGCGCAGACGGTACTTGTCCACTGGAGCCGCGGGCCGTTCGCCGTCGTGGTAGCGCGCGCGCAGGTAGAGGTCCTGCACAAAAACGCGGTGGGCGGCGGGGAAGGGGCGACTCTCGAGCAGCCGGTAGAGCTCGGCGTACTCGCCCCGCTGGAAGGCCACCAGGGCCCGAGCGCGCAGCACCGGGTCGCTGCCA